CGTCGTCTGCATAACATAATATTTGGATTTCTTTGTTCCCCATTCTGCAGTCATGACCTTTACGTATTGCTTGTATTATTTCGTCCATTATTATATTAAAGATAAGTGGGCTTAACGAGTCACCCTGTCTGACTCCGCTTTGTACTGGTATACACTGGTTGTATTTATTGTTGTCTAATATAAAAGCATAATTATTTATTGGAATCAATCTAATTCGTCGATCAAGTAATTCGAGAGCTAGGTATCTTTCTGTATACATGGAAGGGTAGATACTTGACAAATATTGTTTTTTCTGTAAAAATTTTCGCTGAATACGAATATGTAGGGCGCATATCTCAAAAAGTGATACCAATTGCTATAAACAATTTTTTTATAAATAAATTTTCAAATTTTGATCATGAATGTGTTGCCTGTGAGTCCATTTCAAATAGGTAAAAAAATAATAAATAAGACTTACTCACAATCAATTTAATTTAACTATCCAGACGACCGGTTTCGCTTTCTACAATATGCAAAGCATCTTCAGGTCTCGCTACAATGTTACAAAGTCTCGATACAAAACTTTGTATCGAGACCTGAAGATGCTTTACATATTGTAGAAAGCGAAACTGGTCGTCTGGATAGTCAAATTAAATTGATTGTGAGTAAGTCTTATTTATTATTTCTTTACCTATTTTTCAAATTTTAATTCACAATCAATATTTTGAGTTACAACTAGATATAGTCCCATCGTAAAGTGCACTAAAGTAAGGTAAAGCTAATAAATAATAAATTAAAAATGTGTTAAAAAATATGTTGTATATAAAAAGTTATTATCAATTTTAAGTCGAGAAATCAAAGATTTAGCCACACTTTGAGTCGTTATAACTTTTTAGATCGTGCACATTTCTGTAACAGCATAGGTATTTGTCTATTTTAAAATTTCAAACACCGCTCAAACAGCGCGTAACGGCGACACGCGCGCAGACGGCCAGTATGCAGCACGCCATGTGTTTGTTAATTCTACAATGCCGAAAAGCTATTTGTTTATTGCTTGTAAAAAACTTTTTTTATATTTTTTTCAATAGTAAATTGTAAAAATATGTTCAAAGTTTCTATTTATGTGCAGCTGTTAGAGAAATATGCACCATGTAAAAAGTTATGATGACTAAAAGTTACGCTAAATCTTCGATTTCAAGAGATAAAATTGTTAATAACTTTTAAACTACATATAACCTTTTCATATAACATATATAGCATTTTAAATGAATTTTTAGCTGTTCCTAACGATAGGACTACACAGTTATAGATCAAAATATTAAAATTTGAAAATTTATTTATAAAAAAATTGTTCATAACAAGTGGTATCACTTCTTGAGATGAGGATAGGATAGTTTTTAATTATCCATTCTTTCACGTATACAGAAAGGTACCCAGCTGCCGAACTAAAGAAGTCCTGGGTCTAACTAGTAAAACAACATGGTTATGCAACAATTATTCTTTATTCATTAAAATAATCTCCTTTAGCGGGCGATACAATCATTCCAACGCTTTTCTAATTTTTCGATGCCGCCCTTGTAAAACGAATTATCTTTTTCTTCAGAAAAGTCTTCATTTTCGGCAATTAATACCTCATGGAAACAATATCTTCTACACAGAACATTTTTTTAGATTGCAAAAAGGTGATAATCGCTGGGAGCCAGATCTGGACTATACAGTGGGTGTGGAAGCAATTCAAAGGCAAAATCGTGAATTTTTGCCATCGTTTTTATCGGCTTCTGACACGGTGAGTTGTTTTGGTGAACCAACAATTTGTTTAACAAATGAGGCAACATGATTGCGATTTCTGTATTCAAACGCCCCAATAAATGAATATAGTAGTCGATGTTGACTATTTCTCCATGTTTCAAATAGTCAATGAGAATAATTCCTTGCAGATCCAAAAATACAGCGGCCATAAACTTTCGGCGGTTTGTTGCGTTTTTGGTTGCTTTGAACATCTTTCTCCGAGGACTGTCCATTTAGATGACTGCCGATTTAATTCCGGAGTGAAGTAATGGATCCATGTTTGATGCAAAGATGAGAAAACGGGCCACCCGTTTGGAAAACAGCTTTCTCATACCCAAATATTCATGCATAACATTCAAAATGCTACCCTTATGCTATAGTTATAATAATGCCGAATAAGCAATAATTTAAATGATATATAATCACAAAACGTAATCAATATTGTATTATACAACCCAAATAACCTATTAATGCCATAAGGATCATCAAAATATGTAAAACTTCTTCTTATTCAAGTGCCGTCTTCGTTCCGAAGTTTGGCTATCATCAAAGCTATGCGTATTTTTGATGCTGCAGATCTAAACAGTTGGTAAATGGTGCAATTGTACCATTCTCTCAAGTTTTTCAACCATGAATGCCTTCTTCTTCCTATAGATCTCTTTCCCACTATCTTTCCCTGTATAATCAATTGCAGCAACTGGTATTTATCTCCCCTCATAACATGTCCCAAATATTGTAGTTTGCGCTTTGTAAAACTTAGTGACAACTAAATAATGGGACAGTACGAAGTAACTGCAGCGTTTGAAACATATGCAGGGTTACGGCAGGGAGACGCGCTGGCGTGCCTTCTCTTTAATATAGCGTTAGAAAATACTATAAGAGATGCCGAGTTACACAATAGGGGAACAATCTTTAATAAATCAACGCAGATTATGGCTTACGCTGACGATCTGGATTTGATTGCACGTACTACACGAGGACTTAAAGAGATGACTTCCGCCTTCTTGACAGCCCACAAAATATGGGCCTTAAAATAAAGGAGGAAAAAACCAAAATGTTAGCATCTATTCCAAATAACAGAGATAGAGCTAGAAACGCCGAACAAAACTTCAGTATAGACCAATATAATTTTGAGGTAGTAAATAAGTTTACATATTTGGGTTCTCTCATAACAAACGATAATGACCCATCTGAAGAAGTTAAACGGAGGGTACTGCTAGCAAACAAATGTTATTTTGGACTAAGCAAGCAGCTAAAAAACAGAAATTTAAGCCAGAAAACCAAACTAATAATATATCGAACACTCATCCTACCAGTGCTGACATATGGGTCAGAAACATGGACCATCTCCAAAACAGACGCAAATCTTCTGCTCGTCTTCGAAAGGAAGATACTAAGAAGAATAATGGGCGCATTCTGTGAGAATGGTATTTGGAGAAGGCGATATAATTTCGAATTGTACGAGAAGTATAAAAAAATAGTAAATGGTACAGATGTAATATCCTTCATAAAAATAGGTAGGCTTAGATGGGCTGGACATGTGTCAAGAGAAAATGAAAATTACCCACCAAGACGAACTCTATTATCGGTCCCAGTGGGAAATAGGAGTAGAGGCAGACCACGACTGAGATGGAGGGACGGTGTGGACGAGGACGCAAGGAAGATCGGCGCGGCAAATTGGCAACGGTTGGCGATGAACAGAAACGACTGGCGAAATAGACTGGGGAAGGTCAAGGCTCAACTAGAGCTGTAGCACCACTGATGATGATGATGATGACGAAGTAACTGCTAAAGGCCACACAAGATAAGACAATTAGGCTGCAAAAACAATGCAGCCGAACAATCTCACACACGTCAAACTATATTCTACTGGACAGATTCGAACGTAGTTATGAGGTTCGAATCGTGTTATAATGCCCCTTTGTCCGCTTCTTGTCGATCGACGATGATAAATATAATAAAACTTTAAGTTGTGGAGAAAAAATGTTGGTTTTATTGACAGCTACTACTAATTACAATGTATGATGTTAGTTAGGTAACTATGTATAATTATAGTTCTCCTCTGTAAACATGTCCTAGATAACTCGTTTTTCTGTTTTTTACAATATTTAGGAGTTCTCACTCAGTTCCCCTTCTTCTTAGCACCTCGTTGTTGATCACGTGCTCTGTCCAAAAGATCTTCAGCATCCTTCGAAAAACCTACATCTCAAAGGCTTCTATACGCCTCATACTTGTAACTCCGTGTAATTTTCTTCTAGGCAAAGGAAAAGCTACGTTTAACACTCAAACAAAAAGCAAACCGGCTCATTTAAGCAAAATCTAAACTTTCTTGGTCGGTAGAAGATTGGTCACGAGTAATTTTTAGTGAAGAATCAAAATTCGACGTATAATGTTGCATCACCGTAAACGAGTTATTCGCACTAAGCATGAAGCTTTTCACCAAGATTGTTTGAAACGGGCAATTTCCTAAATGAGTGATGAATGTTGTATGGCAGTTTCATGGATGGATAGGATGTTTTTAATTTATTGAAATATACTTGTTTAATACAGTAAATGCTGCGAAATATCAACAAAGAACTCAAAATATCCTACTTCCAAGTATTGTAAAATAAAATGCTGGCTAATTCAGCAGGGCGAAGCAGCCTGACATACGGCCAAAACAACAAACAACTGGTTTGGAAATCACAAAATTAATGTCCTTTCTTCGCCTTTTAACAGTCCTGACCTAAATGTAATTGGAACAAGCAAAAAATGTTAGCAAAAACTGAGTTAGACACTAACAAATAACTCACAACGGACATTACACGAACCTAAAATCAAAATAGAGCAGATGTGCAATTCATTTACCTTTGATGAAAGTTGCAGATCCTTACTCGAGTAAATGCTCAACCGAATTCAAGCGGTCATAAAGTCTAAGGACGATGCTACTTTGTTTTAAAAATAAATATTTGTTCTATGTCCCAATATTTAGTTGTCCACAAAATATTATTAGTTATTAACTAATTATATATTAATACATTAAAAACCATTATTAAAAAAAAAATAAACTGTCAATTATCTGAATTTTGCACGTATTTTAGTGTGTCCCATTATATAGCAAGTTGTTAAGGCTCTTAGACCTTGAAACTATAAATAGTTAGATGTCTCAGGATAAACCACTGTAATTATTAATTGCGAAGTCGTTAAAAAAATGGAATACTACAAAAACTAATATAGATTCTACTAGGACTTACCGTTTAGCTATATTAACCTGAAAATCAGGTGCTTCGAGTACCCTAAGAAAGAGTTCGTAGACGAGTTGCAAATGTGGCCAGGCAGCCTCGAGTGTTGGCTCGTCTTCTTCGGGATCAAATTCAGCACCGTTAGGATTCGACGATGGTGGAAGGGTTCGAAAGAGGTTAACAGCAAACTGAAAGTTTGAAAAGCAAATCAGACATTGAACTTAATAATTTCATTTAGTTCTATAAAAAATGTCTTGTATTAGTATTGTAGTAACATCATAGATACTATTTTGTACCCTACACCTCGACCTAACAATACCTCTACAATAATGTTTACCAACCAGTGGCGCATAATAGACCGGATCTCATACTAGTTAATAAACTTACTAGGCAAACAACACTTATTGATGTGGCGATACCCAACACCAATAATTTACGTGTTAAATACAACGAAAAGATCGCCAAGTACAGAGATCTAGAAATACAAATCAGGAGAGAATGGAGAATGGAAAGTAACTAGACAGTACCTATTATTCTATCTACTACTGGTGTTATTCCCAAAAACCTCCTAGAGAACATGGAACAGCTGGATCTAAATGAACATCTCTATAAGGCCATACAGAAAGCTGTACTCCTCGCGACGTCCAGATATGTACGAAAATTTTTGGGAGATACTCCAACATACCAAGTAATTTAGGGCTCGATAACACGGAAAGAGTCCCAGAGCTCAATCCTTTTGATACCCTAGGTATTTGGGATGAGTGAATTTTCCCCGTGAGCCGTATTGCTAAATCTGGATGTTTATTACAATATACAACATGATAATTCAATAGAATTACTATCTAATTTGAAGTTGAATATTTATGTATCTGAAGAATCAGAGATTGTGCAAAGGAATTCACTCATTTAAACTATTCAAATATTAGTTTCATCTATTCATTTTATATATTAGATCAAGACATTTTAATCGGAATAAGCCATATTTTATTAACAAGTAGCTTATTCCCATTAAAAGTAGTAACTGACAAAAAGAGGAAATGCCTAAGCAGTGATATGAAAGTCATATGGTACCCATCCACACAAAGGAAGATAAACAGATACATAGGAATTATAGAATTTTTTTTTAGTTAATACAACATAATAAAATAAAGTAATAAGACTATAATATTACTGAGAAGATTACTTCCCTACAGGAAGTTACAATTGGCGGTTAAATATTGTGTGCCTTTAGACTTGAAAGATCAACCGTAGATCAAATCTTTGTCCTACGCCAGATTTTGGAACAGTTATCCATATTATATATTACAAGACAGTAGACGCGATAGAACAAGCAGCAAAACTGAAATGGAAATGGGCTGGACACAATGAACGTCTCCAAGACGGACGATGGAACAATGATATCGGAAAGTGGCGTCCATACAATGCAAAGAGATCAAGAGGCAGACCACAGATGAGGTGGAAAGATGACATCAGGAAACAAGGAGGTCCCACATGGCAGAGAACAGCTCAAGATAGGGAAAGATGGAGAGAACTGGGGGAGACCTATATCCAACAATGGAAGGATAGAGAATAGGTTCAAAAAAAAAATCCATATTATAGAAGGCTTTGGTAGAAATGGGAGTCCCTAGAAAGCTAGTACAATTAGCATAGGTGTACGTGAAGAACTCATCTTCAAGGGAGTCTTCACCCTATTCGAAAACAAGCCCAAGAAAATTGGTCTTAGGTCAACGAGGATAAGACAAAATGTATCTATAAATGAATACAAGTTCGAAGTTGTTAAATAATTCAAATACTTGGGAGCACAGATATAAAAAACGTGGAAGCTAGGAAACATGGAATTCTTCGGTTTCGTGGTTTTACTAAGGCTTGCCTTTCGAATACCCGGCTAATGTTCGTGTGCTTCATTTAGAGCGTTAACGGTAAATTTTACTTATTGTACTTTATTTCTATAAATATAATGTATACGTCTATGGTTATATATTACCCATTATTCCAATGTTTAGTATGTCTTTTAACACAATTATTTTGAATAATATTGTTTGCACTATTGCGTCATTCTCATATAATATATTATCTGCCTCTTTGCAGTACAATGGTCTAAGCCACATTCTGGTAATTTTACAATTATAAAGAGGTGTAGAGATAGCATACGTCTGTTTTGATTAAGACGTTTAAGGAATTTTTGGGTGTTCAGTCCGATATTCGCAGAAACTTGTTTTCCTATTAGATAGAATTGGTTTAACTAATTCTTATAAATCACTTACCATATTTACAGCTTCTCCATACACATTGTCGGTTATCACACCCTTCTGTGTTGTAACATATTCTACCATTTCCTGAAGTGCAGTTCTTTTGACTTCTTTCCATTTTAAGTCAGAAAGGGGATCCGATGCAAAGTCAAAAAGCACGCAGCACTGTCTAAGTTTTTGAATGAATAAATCTTCTCTTTCATCCGAAGGAGCATCTATAAAGAAATAACATGTTTGTTACTATTGATATAAAATGTATTTATAACATATAATAATAGTGACACACTAATTAATGCTAAATATTGATCTCAACATTTTCTGATACGAAAATTTGCTTTCAACCTGTGACGGAGGAAGAAATAATACGAATACATTTAAAATATACCAGTATAAAATGCATTTGAGGGAAGTCAAGAGTGTATTTGTATATACAGTGTTCCATTACAAATAAAGAATATGGAACATGATAGACTTGCGTGAATCACCCTGTACTTTTAAATTTATGCTTAAAAATTGCACATTTATATTTAAAACTCGACGGGTTTCAGCGTTTTTTAAAATTTTTTAAAACAGTCCGCTACTTCGGACACCCCGTCCACTCCCATTCTAACGCCATAAGCATTACCCACCGACAGGACAGGACTACTCGCTGACGTCACAACCCCTGCCACTGGCATCACATACCACGCCCTCTTCTTCTTTTCGGCGGCCACAGTTTTTCTTCTCTCTTATATAAGGCCGTCCGCTATTTTTCGACTGTTACAGTTCTTCTTTCGTATTTGTGGTAATGTAGTCTGTCACTTCAATTGTCTTCTTTTAGACTATGTGTTGCTTGTGAAACCATCTGCCACATGTCAGTTCTTCTTCTTTCAACTCTTCTATCATTTTTAAATGACATTAGTAGATAGTCTTCTCTTACGTTTGTAATATTCAGGGCTGTGTTGTTGGGATTTAACCAATAAAATACGAAGAATTAAAAAAATAAGCATGGCGGCATGACAAAGAGGCCTTAAGTTGATGGTGGACAAATGGCTAAACATACAAAGAAGTGCGAGGTGTTACTTGATAATAAACAAATACAATATCTGGAAAGAATATCCAACAAAGCAAAGCTTTTCCTTTGAACATATCGAAGGATGTGGAAAATCATGAGGTACGGAACCAAAACACATTCACTGGCTATTAAGACTGTAGCCGTGTAGTCAAACCTACTACAACGTATGGCGTACTAGATTTCATTCAAAAACAAGATAAACTTAACATAAAATTAATTTCTAACCAATGACAAGCTGCAACGTCACGACGCACCCATCGATGGGTGTGAACTCGAGCGTTTCTTGGTTTTGAATGAAGTATAGTATGGTGATCTAAATGACAACAAAAGATCGTCAGAGAGAAGCTAAATAAGCTTCAACAGCAAGCACGCTTAATCATATAATCCTAAAAGGAGCAATGTTGACTACCCTAACAACCTACATGGAAGTCATACTTGACCTCCCTCCATTACATATCTGAATGAAGAAGGATAAGGTAGGAGCATACAGAAGGCAGATAAGACGCCAGACTATCAGATGCAATGCAACCTAAATATAATTTCGACAAGCCATTTACCTTCGTCTTTCCAGGAAGAGAGCAATGTGAGTCGAATAAAAAGAATCTCGTAATAGCGGATCAATACTGGCATACAGACAGCTCTAAAAGAAGTGAAGGAGTTGGAGCTGGAGTATACGGAAGGAAACAAAGACTAATTCTTAGTAAAAGTCGAAGTAATCACTTCTCTATCTTCCAAGCGAAAATTTATGCTGTATAGATGTGCTTGCAGGAACTATTAAAAAGCAACTGCAAGGACAGAGCTATAAAAATAATATCGGACAGCCAGGAGGCATTAAAGGCACTGGAATCGAATCGAATTAACTTCCAGGTTACTCGGATCAAACCTAACCTAATAATGATAAAACTCAGTTTCCACATTGCTATGTGACTTGGAAATATGGACAATAAAGCAATCTGGAATAAAAAAAATCAAATTCCTTTGAGATCTGGTGCTATAGTAGAATGCAGAGAATATCAAGAACAGAGAAAATAAGAGGTATTACACAGAATAAACAAATAGTGTGAGAGCATAACATCAAACATTAGGAAACTTCAATATTTCGGTTATATATTGCGAAAGGAGAATAATGTGTTACTTAGATTGATTATGCAAAGGAAGATAAAACAAAGGAGAAACTCCGGCAGAAGTAGGATGCCCTGGCTGAGGAATTTGAGTGGTTTGATTGCAGCGCAGAACTCTCTAGAAGTGTGGCTAATAATGTTAAGAACAGAGTGATGATGATTTCGCACCTCCGACAGAAAGAATCTGAAGGAATAATTTTTCCATTATATAACTGTTTTGTATTTAACTAAAATAATTATTCTAAACGTTCCATTTTAAAAATAGGTTATAAATTTAATGTATGGGTATTTAATGTATAAATATTAATTTCATTCTTTGAAGCCGCGTAGAATTTTATTATTCTAATTTTAGCTTTTTAGTTTTAAAAAGACGATTTCCGTAATACCAAATTCTATTTACAAACTACGAGCTATAAACGTAAGCGGAAATATAAAAATAGTTTATGTTATTTTTCTTATCATCACAAAAAGAAATAAACCAAAAAATCTGGCATTGAATTTAATGAGATGTTAATAATGAAGATAAAAATATAACTTCATAATAAAATTGGAAGACACGGGGATACTGTCGATTTAAATTTATGAAAAATTACTAACACCGTTTTTTGAAATAATCATTGTAGGATTTCTTGAAAAGGGTTATACACGGGTTACGTTGAAATATTTTTTTTACATTTTGATCCCAATCGATGAGATAAATATAGACTTGCCTTTTTGCGATTTTAATGGGATTAATACGGTCCTTATTGTTCAAAATTTAAACGCATTGGGTGCTAAAAATAAAAAAATCTGAAACTCCAGAAAGATTCGTCTAATTGTAATTAAATTTTCTATCTTACTCTATTTTACTCAAATTATTCCCTTAGGTTCTTAAGCCCGGATATTCCAAAGTCTTCCTACATTTTTTTCCTCGGATTTTGCATTGCATAAGTTGTAGTAATAAGTATTTTTTTTCACTAATGACATGTTCCAAGTACTCAAGTTTTCGTCTTTTAATAGACAATTATTATTTGTGCTTCATTTCCTATCCTTCCAGTTACTTCTTTTTTGACAGTTTGACACTCTTTGAATCCCATATATTCGCACAATTCTTTTGTAACATCAAAACTGGTAATACATTATTCCTCTATTAGATAGATCTCTTTCAGACAATAGTATAAGTACCTACTCGTTTGTATGCTACTCGCCAGATGGAAATACATGTATTTATTTTTAGCTGTAATTTCTGCAAACGTAGTTACTAGTCTTTTTCAACTGGTGGTGCAGCGAATGTGTTGAGTTCCTAGACGAGGAACGAGTGTCTATGTTTTATTTTTTTTGTTTATCTTATCCGTAAGAATTATTTTGATGCAGAAAATTTGTAATGCTACTTAAGTTTGCAATTTATATTATAGTTTTATATTATACTAGACAATCTTCTTTCTGTTGATGATTTACTTCACTCGAAAATCGAACAGAAATCAAAATATGTTCCTGTTTATTTACCAGATATTGGGCTCAGATGATAAGAAATGCTCGAATACATCCAAGTCCTTTTGAAGTCAGATTCATAATGTTTGATGACATCTTTGATTTCAAATCCTTAATACAGAACTATAAAGTGAACAAAATTCTCCGGCAACAAGTTTGCTGGTTACGATACATTAAAACCGATGCCGTGGTGACAACGTCCCATAAAAAAAATTTTGGAGTTGACTTTCAGCAAGTAAACAGCATGAAAAGTCGTGGGGGGGCCAAAAACGTTGACTTAAACAAAGCTTATGATAAGCAGTTGCCAACTGCGATTGCTACAGTATTGTGCGAATTAATGGAGTCATAGGCTGTTTTAATGAAAAATCAGTTTATTTAGTAAAAAATTATATTTTGACAAAACTATAAAGGTAAACTTACTATATTCAGTAGGAAATATGTCCCCCTTTGGCAGCAATTACTGCTTTTACCCGTTTTGGCATAGATTCTATGAGTTTCTGACAGTTGTCAGATATCCTTTCATCTCGATACCAAACCTGAATGGCCGTTTCTATCATTTTTGTTTTAGTGGTACAGTCGATTTTTCGCAGTCTAGCTTTGCAAATGGCCCATAAATTTTCAACGGGGTTGAGGTCGGGCGAATTATCGGGCCAATCTAAAACATTAATCTTCTTATTTTTGAAAAATGACATCATTTCCTTTGATTTGTGACAGGAAGCAGAGTCCTGTTGAAGAATCGCTCCTCCTTGGGGTTAACATTTTTGGAGTTGTTTGTCCAAATAATTTTCCAACATGGATTTGTATTTTTGGCTGTTCATCATGCCTTCAATTGGCACCAAAGATCCAACCCCCATGTATGAAAAACATCCCCAAAACATTTTCTTGACTGGATGTTTTACGGTTTGATGAATATGAGATGGTGTAAGCTTTTCATTGTCAGACTTCCTGACGAATTTCGACCGCTGTCCCTGAACTATAAAGTGGGTTTCATCTGTAAATAGGACTTTTTTCCAGTCGCCTACAGTCCAATTAGAGTATTTTTTGGCCCACAGTAGCCTTTGTTTCTTCATTCGTTCCGTTAGAAGCTGTTTTTTCTGTGGACGAATTGCCCTTCTACCATTCTCCAAAAGTCTTCTACGAACTGTTGAGTCATGAATCACTATATCTGATGCTGCTAGATCTTGTTGTAGGTCTTGGCTTGATTTTCTTGGGTCCAATTTGCTCTTTCGAATTAAAAATCTATCATCTGCTGGTGTTGTTTTTCTCTTTCTTCCACATTTTCCAAACTTTTTCACATCCACTGATCCCGTTTCTCGTTACTACTCCCTGACTCACTCCGCCCGTTCTATCAATCTCTCTATGTGACATACTAGTGTGTTCACTCAACGTGACAATCTTTTCACGCAATATCCATGTTGGAATAAAACCAAAAACAACACAAAATAGTACAAAAACCCCCAAAACAACACAAGCTGGGTAAGAAATGACCTAAAACACACTCAAACACACCAACACACAATAAGGTTATGTTTTCAATGCTTGGTCAGCTGTCAACTGTGTAGGTAGTGTT